TCCGTGCTGGAGCAGGGCAAGGAAAAGACGAGCTCGCTGCTTTTCCGCTTGCCGCTCCAGTCACGGAGGTGGATGAAGCGGCGCCTGGCGGCACCGCAAATGTGGGTCGCTCGCTGCTGCCTGGGCAGCGCTGGGTTCTCGCGGGAGCTTCCCGGCTCAGAGCGGGCAACAGGCTGACAGATTCTGCAGCCACCCATTTGGTGGGCAAGGAGAAAAACCAGCTGCGTAGGCCCCGTGAAAAGGGTTCGCCGCCATCTTCCGGCGCCCTCAGCGAAGGAGAGCGCGCACAACGCCTCGGTTTGCCTACAGAGCCTGCGTTCGGCCTCGCACCACCCCCCCCCCCCCCCGGCTGTTATTCCCCCCGGCTCTGCTGCATCGGCAGCCACCCCAGCCAGGCTTCGAAGCCCTTACCGAAAAAAGTACTGGTTACAGTGTCCCCATCGTCGTGTTTCTGCTGGAGGTCCCTCAGCTGCTGGGACTCCTGACAGACGTAGATGGTCAGTCTGGGCCGCACCATCCTGCGGACAGAGCAGCGAGCAAACACCATCGGCTTTGCTCAAGGACACATCTAGATCCCGGCGCTTTGCCAGCGCTCTTCCCCTCCCCAGGATCCTCAGGAGGAGAAGAGGAGATGGACGAACTCCTCTCGAACCGAAAGGATCGCGGTTGTCCCCACCTTGCTGATGCAGCAAAGGTTTTTGTGAGAAGGGGACAAAGCCTGCACGGGGACGTGGTGCCAGCTGGCTCCCAAGCAGCCAGCTCCCGAGGACGGAGCGGCCGCAGCTCAGAGCGAGCTCTGCCTGGTACCACACACCCTCCTCCTTCTTCAGAGTCTCATTTTGCTGTGCAAAAGCCGGCAGCGTCTCCGGTCCTTCCTGCCCTTCTCCTCCGCCCAGCGCGACCACCTTTCCCCGCTGTCTCCCGAGCCATCGGACGCAGAACATTAAACCCCTGGAATGCTTCCCACCGGCGCAGCTCTTGCTGCCCCGTATCAGAGACCCGCGCTGACGCCTCCCCAGACCTTCCCTCCGGGATACAGCACACCCCGTGCCCAGCAACTCTCTGCCCGGCCGCAGCGCCGCCTTCGGAAATGCTCCAGCTCAGACAGGAGGTCAGTTACACACCAGTCCCTGCTTCTTCAGGGAAAGGGGCAATGGAATATTCCCCTTTTGGGAAGGTAATTCCACTGAGAGAGGGGTCAGGGGACGGAGGAAAGAAGTGCTGTATCGGCTTCTGGCTTGTGGCTGGGTTCTCTGACCCTCAAAGAGTGAGACTGTTTCTAACACTCCTCTCCCACATAGATTTTCCGCCCCAAATTGTCTCTGGAGCGGTTACCCCGCTGGCTAAGTTATCAAATTTGACTGAAAGAGGTTCAGGAAGGTTAATGAAATTCTGTTCTCTCTAAACACTGCCACGGGTTGCCCAGAGAGGTGGTGGAGGCCCCATCCCTGGAAACATTCAAGACCAGGTTCGACAGGGCTCTGAGCACCCTGATCTCGTTAGCGGTGTCCCTGCTCGCTGCGGGGGGGTTGGACTGGATGGCCTCCAGGGGTCCCTTCCGACCCAAAACTTTCTGTGATTCTGTGATAACAGCGAGAGCCAAGCAAACGGGCTAAAACAAACACGATTCACCTGCCATCCGCGCCCAGCTTTGAAGCAACCAACCTACCGTCCTTTCAGCGCGTTGAAGAGCCTGATGCCATCCGCAGGGCCGCAGATCTGGATAACGTCTTCTCTGGTCAGCTTCAGTAAGTCTGCACCTTCAGGTTTAAAAATCAAAAGGGAGATTAAAGTCACACAATCCAACCCAAAAATGTCCGGGACGGGTGGGCTCTGGGCACCGCAGCTCTGCTGGCTCCCCCTCCTCCTCCTCCTCCTCCTCCCAGAGTTCACCCCATTCCCAAATTGCTTCTGCCTCCTGCTAACAACCTCCCCCCTGCATCCCCAGAAGGATGCTCGCAAGATTTTTCTTCCAGACTGGTTTTGCAAGAGCTTGTTTTGGTACAACCCTGGGGCCGGTGTTATCAGTTCCAGCCGGCTATCCAGCGCCTCGGTGACCCTGGATAGCGGAGCCCGTATCACCAGGAGAGGAGAGCAAAATAAACACGAAGCGTTTCTTTACACCCAGTGCTTTCCCCCACATCAGCACTGCTCAGCTTGTTTTACGGTCAGCGGGTGCTGCGAGCTCTTGGAAGAGAAACCACCCCGGTCCCCACTATCTTGCCAGTTGGGAGCGAGGTGAGAAACAAAGAACACAGCTTTCAGGAAGCCAAGTTTTATTGTGTTACAAAAAATAGGACATTTTTAAAAGCATTTATATTTGCAGCGGTAACACGAAGATGGCCTCGGGAGCGAGAGGAGGCGGAGCGACTCGGCACAGAGAAGGGACAGACACGGCGGGGGCCGTCGTAACCTACCTGAGAAGTTTCTGAAAAGCCGAGAAAAAGTGGAGAAGCGGTTTCGGTGCAGCCACTGCTGGGCCTCCTGGGGTGTGCTGGTGGGCAAGAGGTTCTGCAACGTAGGAAAAGAAGGGTCACGGCCTCAGAGGGGACGTGGACACCGTTTCCAGCGAGGAACGAGCAGGGGTCAGCTCAGGCAGCGTTTACCATCGCAGCCTTCGATCGAGACCCGAGCGGGCCAGGCTGACAGCACACGCACACAGTGAAGGCCGCAGCCCGGACAGTTTTTTGGTTTAAAAGGCTTCAGAGGGACAGAGAAAGAGGAAGGAAGCAAAGGGGAAAGCACAGCGAAGATCCAGGCAGTAAGTAAAGGTCACAGCGAGCTACCATCAGCTTGCTCACAGCTCCGCATCGCTGGACTGGACATTTTTCACCCTATCGCCTCTTTTTCCAAAAAGGAGTCAAAAAGAAGAAGTTACAGCTCCCCAGACGTTAAACAAGAGCAGTTTCTCCCCCAGCAAACTACAGCCGCCCGCGAACCCGCCCCGCTCCGTACCCAGACCCCGTTTTTCTGACATGTGCCCCAT